GTCACATCTATTGGTAAATGTTGTGGTTGATGTACAAAAAGCATAGCATGCACATGATTTAAAAGTGTAAAAAGGAGGAGGGGTGGCGGTCGGTTAAGCTGCTTTTGTTAAAAAGATACGATTCTCATCCCTCAAATTAACTAAGCTATGGTATACACATTATATCATACATGCATGTGTATAACAGCATGTGCCGGCTCAAAATTTCCATATTAAATCGTTAGTTTTCAGTCCCCGTGGTCCGTGAAAACCTGCAACTTTTGCCAATAAATGACAGTTAACTGAGCCTGTTCTCCTCCATTCACATGCACGCTAGCTCTTTTCCACTGCATGAATGGCATGAATCGTCTTTAATTTGTTCGTATTGGACAACTGGACTCACCAAGTTATTGGATCTCAAGCAACGTGCATGCATTAATTTCGGACAGTAACCACAAAAAAAGAGCGAAGGACAATAGAAAACAATACTAATAAAGACTACTAAAACTGCCTCGTTTGTGACTACACGTCTGGCCATCCTTTTGGTTGGAGGAGCGCTTTCCACTTTCCAGTCTGACAAAATAAAAGGTAACCAGATGTTTATTATTGCTGCCTACCTTTTTATCGTGAACGCGAAAAGCACTACTCACGACCCTTTTTCTATATATATATATATATATATATATAACAATTCAAAGTTTGAAGTTTTTTTTTTTTTTTTTTTTTTTTTAAGGTTTAGTATTATATATTTATAATTAGATTCTTATTTTAAGACAAAGTTACCCTACATGCAATGGTTAAATAAAAAAAATACTTCATGATATCATGATAACAGACATTATTTTTAAAAATAAAAAATATTTAAAAATAAATTTGAAAAATAAAAATATTAAAAGACATAGTACTTATTGAAATAAAATACTCTTCCTTCTATTTCTTTAAAAAAATACTATTCTTATAAACTAATCTTAAATAAAATCTAATTATGTAAATACACTTCTAGATAGATTAGGCTATCATACTAATTGCGTGTCTAATTAATAAGTAATGCTCCACATATCAAATTGGGCGTTGTACGCATTCAAAGATACATCATCTTCGTTGGATACTGTGCGTCTTCACCTCAAATATCTCAAGTGAGTTAAAAAGGCTCTCTTATGATTTGCCATTATGATAAGAAGATCAAAATGTTAAAAGTCATAAAGTGGTAAGAATCCCATCCAAGGCTCCATCCCTCTGTTCAAAACGTTTTGGCAATGATAATCAAAAGTATGGTTGTAACTATTTGGATGTAAAAGAATGATTTTATAATCAGGTAAACAAATTAGTTTTTAAATAATTTTTTTAGACTCGTACTTGATAAAAGAGATTAAATTTTATTACTCTCGTTTTGAATATGATTAATTCTATTTTTAATAAGGGATAAAGATACCAAAATTAAAAAAAAAAAAAGTGAAGATAATGCCTTAATTTATTACTTTTTTTAAAATTTATTTACACATATGATAAGAGGGATTTATTTTATGTATATTTTTAATTTTTAATATATGATATGTTAATATTGGAATATTTACGTATCTTATATATGTGGTCAATCCATGTCAAAGCCATATAACTCAATGTAACTATAATTATTTTAACAGCGTTTTTAGGTTTGAGATTTAGAATAAACGACGCATGAAATTTTAAAAAACTTTTAAAAAAATACATATTTTTAACTACAAAACCTCTTAAATATGTATTGAAACAAGGCATATGTACCATGAAATTTCAATATACTTTCACTTTATAAAATATTTTTTCTCTCAAATCCAAAGATAAACTTTTCATAATCACATTCTTCTGTTCAATCAAAGCAATAAATTGATCATAATTTTGCCCTGTATTCATAGAGATAACACAAATTACGTTCTTTTTTGCACAAGAAAATCTATACTGAAAATGAAATCTTTTCAAATTAATAAGGAATTTTATCTTAGATAGAAAAGCTCGTTAAAATATAAATTTATACATAATGATATATCGAAGGTAAAAAAAGGGATGAGATTGCAAAAATACTAGCGTTTCACTTTATGTAAAATGAAATCAAATCCGAACAATTTCATTATAAACCTTTCCTATCACATCAAAACAATGTCAAATGTCATATTTAGCACATATTGTCCTAATTTGAGAAGGCATGTCATTTTAATTCAAAGAGGAGTCGGTTCAAATTAAAAAAATAAATAAATAAATGTAAATAACTTAAACAAGTGATTTTAAATTTAAATTCTTACATATAAAAAAATATTTTAAATAATTATTTTCATCTTATACATTCAATGAAACAGTAAAAGTTAATTTGAGTCGTTCATTCTGTGATTACTTAGAGGATAAAAAAAATTATTTTGATTCATTGAATAGCGGGGACCAACAAATTGCCATGTAATGTCATTTTAGTTCATCAAATAAAAATAAGCGCTTACGAAACTCTCAATAAATAAAGATACACGATCAGTCCGGTATCCGATTTTTAGAATATAAATTTCCCAAGTACTTTATAAATATCTGGATACTTGAATTGCCATGTAATGTCATTAAACATAACTCTCAACAAATTGCCATGTAATGTCATTTTAGTTCATTAAATAAAAATAACAGTTTACAAAACTCTGAATAATTGATGACTGCTTTTGTCGGTCGAGAAAAGTATTTCAAAAACGATTTGATAGCAAATATGTTTAAAAATTCATAATAATTGAGGTATATATAGGCGGGGTGCGTGTGTGGCGGTTGGGGGGTTGGGTTGGGGGGTGGGTCCATGGGGGCGGCGGGCATTAAGAAGTATCCTTATTAAAATAAAGTATACCATGGTCAACAAAAGCCTTAATTAAGCAAGAGAAATGTGGATTCCTCACGTTCTACTAAAAGAAAAGGAAAATGGTTCCTTGCAAAAACAATAGCCACGTATATAGCAAATTAGACAATTAGAAATACTGAATTTGTTTGGTAAATTTAGTGATATAACACTTGCATAAATTATAAATCAGTCTTTAATTTCAAAAAACAAATTAATTAGTCTATTTATTTCAAAAACAAATTATTTAGCTACTTAATAAATATTGACCAAGTTTAATTTAATATTATTTTATGTCAAAAAATATTTTCTTTTCATAACATCTATTTATTTTGTCATTTTTTATTTTTCAAAACAAAATGAATTATATAAAAATATAAATTTAAAAAAATTAAATAATTAGTTTTTGATATTAAAATGATTAATTAATTTGTTTCTCAAAATTGAAGAGACTAATTTATAATTTATTCTATAACTCATGGATGAAGTCATCCACAAATGATTAGTTAACCCTTAGAGGTTTAAGTAAGCAGGCAAGTAGAAAGAGAAAAAAAATTAAGCATAGACGAAAATATTTTTATTTCTTTTGATGAGTTCGAATGTGAATTTGTATTTGATTTATATTTATGATCCATAAAGTAAATATAAGTATTTCTGTATTAGTTCCTTAAGTATTTTAAATTTCTCTATATGACTTGCATGGAAAATCAAAGAGTTAATGGAGGAGGAAGATGTAGATGTGAGAAAATAGGATTTGTTGAAATGACAAATTTGCCCTTAATTTGAAATTTAAACAGATACTAAATCCATAGTTTACCTCCTTGGGTTATCCCTTGCTAGACAATTTGGCCCTTGTGTTGTTTATTGAGTCAATTAAACTCTATTTTACTCAAATTATTCAAGTAAAGCCATTTAAGTCAATTAGAAAGATTTTGGAAATTGAGACTAATATGGTCATTTTGCATATTGATGGAGAACCATTTACTTGGTCCTTTTCTATTTGTTTTCTTAATTAAACATATATATTCATATGTTATCTATAATGTTAATCAAATTTATGTACATGTTAATGTAAATGCCCTTTTGACCTTGATTTACTAATAAGTTAAGCAATTTTTTTTTATCTAACTTTAAAAAATAGAAGTGTTTTGTGAATAATTTATTTTTTTTCTTAAAAAGCAACATATTAGCTCATAAAAACAGATAAAAACTGATTATAAAAAAAAACATATCCTCTCTTACTTATGTTATGATCAATTAAAAGAAGTATTTTACTTATAAGCACAATAAATCCAAAAATACTCAAATTTATCTTTAAATAAAATAAATTTATTGAAAAGAATAATTGATAGTTAAAAAAGTTTTTTTTTTTAAAAAAAAAACTATGATGTTCTCTTTGAAAGCTATACATGATAAATATTATCACAATAACAAAAAAAACTCTGCTTAGGTTTAATACAATTCTTTCAATTATCAAGTCAAGAAAATAATGAGATATTTTGTAGGTTGTTTTACTCTCAATTTATTTTTATAACAAAATTTACCAGATAATTTTATTTTATTCAAAGATAAATTCATATATACAAAAATATGCACATTATACAATCACGATGTTTAAAAATGACAGATCCGAAATACGTGCTCTTTAATTTAAAAAATAAAAATAAATGTGCTATTTAGATCATTTTTTTTTTAAAGTCAAATATCAAGTAGATAGTATCTAAAATAAATATGATCAATAATAACATATTAGTCCCTAACCTTCAAAAGATTACTAATTTGCTCAATTGGTCGTGTTTATCTTCGATAGCATAGTATTAAAACTCTGTATAATTGAGTTAATTAAATATATATATATATATAATAGAGATTTATCATAAAAATTATTTATGCATCTCATCTTTACACGAGAGAGGACATTATAGTTTCCTAGTATATTGAATCTCTAGTCTAATTAGGGACAACACAAGAGACATACTATAGGTTTTAGCCAAAAATTCATCCCAAATTCTTCTCAAAAAATTTCAACCATTGGATCTATACAATCTACTAATGATATCCCTTCATCCAATCCATGGGATTTTGGAAAATGATTTCCGGAAGAATATTCTTTAAAAAATCTGCGCCGGCACCTATATCAGACTGGACAACTTCATCGAACAGTTGGCGTGCGTGGGACATTTAAATGGAGAAAACAGACTACAAACTTGTGCTCTCATGCCCTTCTGGTCTATCGCCTTCTCAGGTCCTCGCTGTTTTTTTTTTCCCCTATCATAAGCTGTATTACTATAAAATCAATAACTGTGGTTTAATTTTTTACGTTGTTGGATTTAGGTATCAGTGGTTTTGGATCCATCTTACGATAGAATCCCCCATCCTGACATTGACTTAGAAAACTCCATTTCTGAGGTAAGTTAGTTCACTGATTTAATTATATCTGTATTGAAATAAATGCGCTGTCCAAATCCATAGAATTCGACAGCTAACTGTTATATTCGGCGATTTAAAGATATGGGATCGAAGGGTACAGAAGAATGCATCTTTGTACAATGGGAAAAAGTTCCGGGTATGTTGATCTAAATCTTCACTAATAAGATATGCACCAATAATGGAGAGTGTGTAGTTTTTGTGCTGTACATCATTTTAGCAAATCTTCTTTGTTACTGACAAACCAAAAGGAACTCTAGAATGCCGCCAATTGGTATTCGCATATGATTTGATGTTTTTTGCTATGATTTCTTATGTCAAGTGCATTCGGCAGTTATGAGTTTTCACCCAGTTTCCACAGTTTCTAAACGGATTGTAATGTATTGTCTTGTGTTGTTAAAATGTAAGAGAGACCAAAATAATTGATGAGAATGGGAATTTGATAATCGGACTGGTATTAGAAATAAAACTGTGATTCTATTGAAGCATTTGATACAAGACATAATAATTGTGTTATTTAGCAGACCAAAAGTTAATGCCCTGTTTTTCTTATAACATATTTTTAGAATTTTAAAGCACGGAAATTTTCCCTGCATTTTTTTAATTTTGAAAACTTCTCTTATGAACTGCTGTTCCTTATCTGTTGTTTTGTTAATAACTTCACAGTATGGAGGCTATACTCTGTACAGCGGAGATGGATCAAAACAAGATTTTCATGTTTGCCTCCAACTTGGTTTGACGGATTATAGGTCTCTCTCTCTCTCTCTCTCTCTCTCTCACGAGTATGGGAATGACTTACAACCTTAGTTCATAAATACTGTATTATTTTTCTAGAGCAAACCAATAAATGTAAATCAACTTGCATCAACTATATTGATACTTGAACACATTGTTCAGTCCCACATTCATAATACTTGGTCAGTGATCTTATGCACATAATATCCTTTGATGTTGTAAATTTTACCGGAGGTGAAACATAGCAAGTTCATTAAACATCTCCCCTTCGTAATTATTGGAAATGAGTTCTGCATCAACTGATTAGTTTCATAATAGTGTGTTGTCATAGGTTAAGGTGAACAGATATAAAGCTGCCAGCTAAATTCTTTAGGTTGGATGCCAGTATCAAAATTATTTTTTCAGCCAGCCTTGATTTATTCTGTCTTTCATTTTCTGCTGTTTAGCTACTTCTCAATTTCCTTATAAATGAGTGGATTATTGCTCTTGGTGTAAACATTTAACTGATGTTTGAATTTCAGCAGTTGCAATGAAACACGATATATTTATGCTCATTATTTTTCTTTCCCCGAAATGAAGAATTAATGCTGTCTACCTGTTACCCAGGACTTTTATGGGGACAAACTTAAATCCTTTTTGGGAAAAGTTCCTTGTTCCATCAGAAGGTATCTCTTCATTCATATGACATATTCATCAGAGAAAAGGATTTGTCTTTGTTTGCTTTTGGTTGTTGCTACTACCATCTCAGTAATGCACATGAGCTCATAAATTTGTGTTTTGCCTCTTCATAGAATTTAATGCTACTTATGTGGTGGTCTCTCTGTTGTTGGAGGGTTAAATGAAAAGATGAAATGATGCTTGTCTGCTGGTTGAACATTTGTATATTTAAAGTTAAATGAAATCAAGCAATAAATGAACACATATTCAGTGATGAATTTTATCAAGAATATATTCCAGACACTACCTGAATTTTTATTGGAAAAAATGGTCTTGTATTGATTTGAAACAGATGAAAAATCAACTAGGATATCTCACGGAATTGTTATTTTTTTAGCACAAGATGTCATTTTTTTAAGTTTCATTCTCATAATTCATAATATACGAGCATCTACAGCTTTGATTTTTTGTAGATGACCCTATACAAAGCCAACACACCTCAAGTCCACTGGGTAACGGTGCAATTGTAGAGACATCTGACAAGAAAATAGTCGTGTTACAAAGAAGTTACAATGTAGGGGAATTTCCTGGACACTTTGTTTTCCCTGGAGGCCATCCAGAGGTATGGAATCTGAAAAATTAAACATTTGTATCCTGATTCTTTAAACGCTATCCAATATGATGAGTATCAGAGCACATGATTCTTTGATGCCTGTTTGCCCTTTTGGATACTATTCTTCTGGGAGCATTTTATAAGCCTGGACTTTGTCATCATTCATGCGTTGGAAGTTTATGATTGTTATTTATTTGCAAGTGGCGGAAGTAGTTTTTTTTTTTTTTCAAATCTTTCTTCTGTTGCAGGCAGTTATATCTGGGTTATCACTTATCAGGACTTAAACTTGGTGCAATTGTTTGATGATGATTGACAGCCTGAAGAAGTTGGGGCAGCATCTCATCAGACGGGGGAAAAGTTAACAAACTCGGAACACATTAACAACAATGTCTCTCAAGAAATGTTTGACAGTATAATTCGTGAAGTAGTTGAAGAAATTGGAGTACCTGTGACATCTCTTGTGAGTTACCATTTATAATCCTGAAAATGTTTTTTTTTTCTTTCTTTATTTGTCTACTGGTATCTTTTCATCATTGTTGCCACTGGTGTAATTGCTTTGTGTTTGCCCCTTTCTATTCTAACTCTTGTTTCTATAATGGACCAAGGCAAATAATTATTGAACATTTAAATGTCAATTTTGAGTAGAAATCATGCTAGTGTACTTTCTCAATAAAAAATATTTTTTTATTACTATTGGGTACATATTAGCGAGTGCACCATAATAAATAAATAAATAAAATAAAATAAAAATTGGACCTATGGTATAAATGTTGAAGTATCTTTAGATATTGATTGTTGTGGCTGAATCCATGGAGATTTTTCCATGCTTGCAATATTAACTGCATGGCCTAGATCTGCCTTTCGAGGGTTGTTAATGAAAAGTCCCAGCATCATAGCTTTCATCTCTAATGCTTTAGGTACAAGTGTTTGGGGAGAATGCTCCCCCCGACTGTTTGTTTGTTTGTTTAAACCACATTTCGACATTGTTTTCAATGGAGGCGCTGTGGTTTTATTTGGTATGTAATTATGGAATTCAACTGAGTCATGTATCTAATGTTTGCCTTCGTCTTTGCCTTGCAGTGCAATCCACTATTTATTGGTATCTCCCGCAGGGTGTTAAACGTCAGACCAGCTGCTTTTTTCTTCATCAAATGTAGCATTGAATCAAATGAAATTAGAAGGCTGTATGCTAGTGCACAAGATGGATATGAATCAACCCAAATTTACACAGTTTCATTGGTTAGTTCAAATTCATTTTTTCAATTAGAAATCCCAAGTTTTTTTTTTGCATTAGTTGCAGCGCATTTAATAATTTGTGCTGGAAATGGCTGGATACGGATGGATGGAATGAGCCAATACTGTGGTGACAGTGGTGATGATAATACAGTGGAGAAACTGGTAGGAGCATTGGATGCAGCTGCAAGGCTTTAAGAGGAGGCTCGCATTGATTAACATAAAATGCATCTGTTCAGGGAGCAAAGTTATCACAGCAACTAAACTTTCCATCACTTTTACTTGAAAATTCATGAAGCATATAGATTACTAGATTCTCTCACTACTGGAAGAGATTTGAAGTATGGATATGACTTATTAATGTATTGGTATCATTCATAATCTCATCAAACATGGATCCATTACTTATTTAGGATCTCTGTATTGCAGATTGAATTAGAAAACATGGCATCTAAAATGCCTGGCTGCCATCAAGGTGGATATGCTCTCTTTAAGCTGATGTTATAAGCTGTGAAGAATATCTGATGGTTCTTCACTGCCAAACAATGGAATTCATCAGCTCTTAGTCTCTTAGCACGCAGCAGTCCTCAGCAACAGGATTTTGACTCATAAACTTGGTATCTACATTGCACAATAACAGGAACATGTCGCTTGATTCTCTTATTGCATACACGGATATGATAATACATATATGTATCTATCTTTGCTATTCAAAACTATAGCATGTGTATAGACGCTCGTTTTGTTTACATGTGAGAAGTTCAAACTTTATTTGCCTTGCGTCAATGGCATTAAACAGCGTCCGTTGATTAAGCTGGTGTCATATTACTCAGAATTCTTTGTTGAAATGTTTTCTTTATTCTTAAATCATAGTGAGTACAGAGACAGCAAAAGCAAAATATATCAGACAATGTTCTTACGACCTTGGTGCCTACATCCAATCCCCAATCCAATGGCCTAAAACATTGATGACTAATAGAACCGTCTTGATGTTTAACTTATGACTGTTACGATGAATGTTTACTTTTCAGCATGATTTCATGTGGAAGCAACTGTTCAGTAAGCAAAGTAAAGCTTAATAACAAGGCACCATAAGGACATCCACGCCTGGACATGGTTCCATGTCCAGGTCTTTTATTATTATTATTATTATTATTATTATTATTTTACTCATTCAGTTAATAAAATTTCGAAATAAATTGTCTAAAATATTTGTTACGTATATAATTATGTTATAAATTTTGCCTGTCATTCCATCAAATGATATGGAAGAAAATTAATTAACCGAAGTAAATTAGAATCTATTCAATAAATCTCATTTTATGAAAATAAAAAATATTACTATTGAAACATAATTTAAAAAATAAATCATGCATAAAATAATGAATTAAACAATGTCTTAAAGAAAAAAATCTACAAGGATAATACATTACAATAGACCAATAAGCTTTTGGTCTGATACTTGTGAGTTTCTTGTATTTGTAAAAAATCATGATTTCAAATTTTCATTTTTAAATATTTGAGCTTAAAAAATGGTCTCATTTCAAGAGGAGACTGTAAATAGCCCCTTCATCTTTGTAGTTATAAATAATTTAGTCCAATGTAGACTTGTGATAATACAACTCCTCTCTTCTGTTCAGTTAGCTAACAACTACTAATGCTAACTTTTTGATTGTCTAACCACTAATTGTGGGATGTAGGGCCATATATATATATATAACTGTAAAAGAGACATTTTTGTGTTTGTATTATTTTGTCCACCTTCAATCAAACAAAGATACAAGAATAATTACTTTATTGTGCACTGTCATTAAATATTAATATGTCTCAATCTTATGTTTTGTCTCGTCTTCTTATTATCGTTTTGTTTCATCTCTTTCGCTGCAAAACAACATCCACACACTATCTAATTGTGAAATCAAATGAACGTTTTTTCAATGTTGTTTTGTTTTGTCCTTTTGTTGTGATACAACATCCAAACACTATTACACAAGCAGGCTTAGTCTAGCGGTTGTATACCTAGCTAGCTTTACTAGTAAAGTAAGATTCAAGTCCTAGTGAAGTAAAGTTCGAGTCCTAATGACTTTAGTTTATTTAATAATTATGTAATGGGGAGGGCTATCCTTATTGTATCGCCCAATAGGTCAATTGGGTCTCCGATGAATAAAAAAAAAGTCTAAAAAAGAAAACATCCAAACACTATCAAATAAAGACCAACAAAGAGTTAACATCGACCTAAAAAATGATAATTCAAGAACATAATCAACCAAAGTAATAATACACAATGATTTATTTATGTGATCGTAATAATAACACATGTCTCTATGCTTCACCTAAAGATTACTAGTCAAAAATTTATCTCGAACAAAATAATCTTGACCGGTCATAGTAGGCTGCTATGATTGGTTAAGACCCGACTAGTTAGCACGGATAAATAGTTTGAACTAGATTTTTTACTTGCACTACGCTACGGATTGAACAAAATATATAAAATTATTTTATTTTGATATCTCGTGTTATATTGCACGTCTAAACGAAAATACATCAAACAAAAAATGAATAAAAATTCATTCAATTTTATATTTTTTTAATCAAAATTTTGTATTTGACTGATTATTTTTTATATTTTTTCATAAATTTTTTATCAAAAAATTATTTGATAGTATTAAGAATGTCAAAACCAATGAATTTTTAGTCGAAAACTTATTTTTGTAATTTTTTAAACATTTTTTATTAAAAATAATTAGAAAAAAGGACCAAAGTGTTTAAAATGAAACAAAAAAGAGGGACCAAAACCAAATAAAAAATATTTACGAACTAAAAAAATAATATTTAAAAAAAGAGACCGGAGAACATTCGTAATAGATTTCTTAAAAATGTTTGAAGACTATAAAAATACTATCGCATAGTGCATTTAAGTATGTGTGAATAGTAAAATAAGTTTGGGTGAAAAGTAATTTAAATAATAAATGAATAGTAAATCATTGTTTTACTTTAGTTTTATTGATAATAAAGAATATGCCTTTCAATCCACTTGGTAGATTAAAAGAACATTCATTTAATGAAAACATAGTTTCTTAGAATGTTCTTGTTGCATCACTACTAACTATGACTATACACACACCGTTGGACAACAACCATCACCTAACAAGTTTTAAACCCTTAAGTGAATGTCGGGAACCGTTGAATGTAAAGAAAAAAACTTTTTAACCTTAACTCCATACAAGCTAATCACGCCTTATCCTACATAAAGGCTAAACAAGTCAAAAGTTATAAGTTTTATCTTCTAAACTCAAAATGGATACATTATCAATGATCTTTTACATAAAAAAGCTAATATCTTACAACTTACTCAAACTAAACAACTCCAACCATCAAAGGAGGACTTGTTTTGTAGTCACTCTTTATTGAATCAATATTTATAAAACTACAATAACTACACGATTAGTCTAGGTCGAAGTCACCTCATCAACAATCATAATCTAATTTCAATGGCATTGTTCATGGAAACCGAGAAAAAATCCAATTTCTAATTATTTTAATTCTCTTCCAACTTGTTTATAACCATGATTAACAAAAAAAAAAAAAAAACTCTAACTTGCCCCATCACTTTTGATTTCACAATTCTTAGTATTTTGCTAGTTGATGTTTTTTAGCTACAACAATGCGTGAAAATCTTAACCGAGACATACATAACAATGCAAGAATAAATAAAGTTTCTAACTACACCCTTTTTAATACCTTAAATGCAATAAGCACCCTTGCATGCATCACCTCCGGAGACCTTCACACCACCACAAGTTACGCCATATATGGACCTTTATTGCCAAAACATATAACTTAGTACTCGATCAAAAAAGAAACAATTATGCATAAAATATCATCCTTTTCGAAACCATAAGAAAGTCATTTTCACCATTGTGACAAAGATCCGGCTAGCTAGGGCTCTTATAGAGATTAAAAAAAAAAAAGATGAAAGGACATAATAACACTATAGTGCCAAAAGTAGGCATAACACCACTAGAAACCAACATAAGAAGCAACACATGAGAATTTCCTTCATCTTCTAGACCTTATTCATAAGCCTAGAGGAAAAATACCAACGAGCCGACAAAAGACCTATTGCCATTGTTCAACCTAAGCTAGACTACTATAGCCATAATGTAATAACCCAAAAAAAGAGGCGACGATTGCCCTATTTTAAAAAATTTCTTTCTCTTGTCCCCTCCTCTCTCACACCACTCTCTCTAGAAATTCCCCTCATAATTCTCTCTTTAATTCCTAAGGTAATTCTTTGTTAAGTTAGCTTAGGAAGACCTTAAACAAGAAGATTCAAATAGAGCTTAGTTAAATTGGAGCTTGGAAAGCTTAGTTAACTAGGAAGAAATTAGGCATTGAAGGATAAATTATCGAAGGTAACATTTATGATAAATTAGTCTTTGAATTGTAATGTTTATATGTGGTTAATAAGGACATTGAAATATAATTGTATTGGATTATGGTTTTCTTGAGAAATTGATTAGATTAAGGCTAGGGTTTTTAAGACCCATTTGGGAAAATTTTTGGTTAAATGATTCTAAGTGTTTGAATGATATTTAATTATCCTACGTAAATGAATTAGGAAGTTAAATTGAAGTGGAATTAAGTGAATTTGAGAAATTGAGAGGTTGAAGATAATAAATAGTGAAAAATCCAAAATTTAGGTTTTAATTGATAGGAATTTAGAAAAAAAAATAAGGAATTAAGCTATATAAATGCAATTAAAGGTAAATGAAATGAGTATTGGATGAATTAGGATATAATTGATTATTTAATTACAAGTTGATTATTTAAAGTTTGAATTGGAAATTGATAGTTGGATTAAGAGTTAATGATGATATATATTTAGGCAATTATTGGAATTGTTGAAGAAATTATAAAGCCTAGTTAGGGTTATCGGCTTAAGTCCTTTTAATTAATTCCATTTTATTTGATGATCTTGTATTTCTATTTTTAGAATAATTCATTTGTTTTGAATTATTCTTTGATATGAATATTGATGGTTAGTTCACCATCTTATGTGCTATTAGATTCTTCAAAGCGAATGACTCCATCTCAATCGTTTTAACTTTCGTTTAACTCTTTGATATACTATGAGTGGATATTATACAGCATATTATGATTTAAATTCCTTGATTATATCTATAATACATTATCGG